AATACATAAGCAATCTTACAAAAAAAATTAATTTTATGAAGTGATGTTACTTTCTCCATTGGCACATGTTACATTGGTTGATCTTTGATTTGATTAACAATAAAACAATTTATTCCTGCAAACGTCAACTCAGTGTTGTATCTTTAGAAGTAGTGTATAGTTGCCATTAGATTTTTAAAAAGGATTATTTAATTAATTGGTCACATTATCCTCTTCCAAAGCTACACAAATCACAGATGGTGACATGTAGAGAAAAAAATAAACTGGTTGGTTATGCTGCTGACTGTTTTATTAAGAAAAGGAAAAGTACATATGGAAGACTGGTGTTTTTACAAAAGGTGACCAGTCTTCTATTAAGTAAAAAAACAGGATTTGAAAAGCTAAACTATTGCAATCCTGTTTTTATTAAAGCAGATGGGATAGAAAAGAACTAGTTGGTGTTTCTGAAGTTTCCTTCGAAGAAATCAAGTGTTGTGGTTAAATGGTTGGGCAGGAGTTGAGAGTCACGTTACCAAATGCCCTACCATCAACAAGCTTCTGGATAACACCATTCAACTCCACGTAGCGCATACACCCTACAAAGTTCTGCATGGTATTCATTCCTCGAAGCCCTGTTGGGTCAGGTACCCCACCCACGTATAAGGGGTCCTTTGTGTCAGTCGAGGATACACCAGCCTGTCCAATACCCGGAGTGCTAGAATGTCCATCAATACTGAGTGTTACCACGTTCTTCGTCTTCACGGCTACAAGAGAATGTTATCGTATTAATTATAACATCTTGGTAACTTTAATACTGTAGTGATAGGTTGTTATCGAAAACGTGACTGTCTACATCACAGAAACTGAAAAAAAGTTTCACATAATGGATTAGACCTGATAAATTCTTGCATAAAAATTTCCAGCAGATTGGTTTTCTTCACATTAATAGATAAAATAAGCTACTGATAATGAGACTTCTCAAGGATAAAAAAAAGCACTGTATCACTACTAACTCAATATTAAATGGTTCCCAGTAATTTACATCATCAGTGCATTTCACTTGTTCAAACAGTTTTTAAAGTTATATGTTTTATTATTTAACTAGTGATGGGTGTAAAGATTGTCATAAATTAACTAACAACTATTTTATTCACATTCCAAATTGCATTTTTGTTTCATAATGTTTACATGTTATTTTTAATGTTAAAAAGTGTCCTAAAAGAAATTAGAAAAATTTTCAGCATACTACAACATTTTAAAATGTTCTTACAAAGTATGTAAATATTAATATTTCTCTAATTGCATAATTTAAAAACTATGTTCACACTTATACACATGTAACTAAGTATCTGACTCTAATGCTAGCAATACTAGGTTTTATGAATTTAAGCATTAAGCCTAATACATATGCATAACACTACTTCATTGAAATTCTTGGTAACGTTTAGTTTGTTTGTGTCTACAACTCAATGTAAAAAAATTCAGATGTTCATTAAACAACTGAAAAAATATAAATGTTATTCAACTTATCACGGTGCGATAACAGAGCCTAAAGATGTAGTGTGCAATAACTTACCCTAGGCCCAAGTCTATAAAACTTTTTATGAAAGAAAAAATATAATTCCTGAATTAAACTACTTTGCTGGTATATCATGTGGTTATAAAAAAACAAACCAACATGTATATTAAGCATTCAACATAAACACCACAGTTGGCTTAACAGTTGGTAGTTTTGTTGCTAAGCTACAATGTAAAATTGTCAACCATTATCAAAAAAGGAGAGTGACACAAAGACAGAAACTGCTTATTATATCTATATTAATTATATGACTTTCTTCTAATTAGAAGACATGGAAATAATACAGAATATTGTGAACGTCAGTCTTTACAACAAAGTATTCTTTTGATTGTTATGGAATTGCTAGCGTTATCCAAATTTAAATGTTACATTTTCCCACTTCCAAGAAAAATAACCAAATGATTTTTATAATTACTTAAAGTAAAGAAGAATATATGAGAAGGCATCAACTGTACTACACCCGCTATATTCAGTACCAACAAGGTCTTTTGACCAATACCAAGGCTCATCGTGCACTAGCCTGATAGATGTTCACAACACAGTATAATAAAGTCAAACAGTTCCTGTGTATTAATAGTTTGCTAAGTATGACTACTGTTTGACGTAATAGTGTTTTAAAACAAGTAATGGCATAAGTAAAATGTGTTGTAAAAATCTTGTGCCAGTAACCAGTCGGAGGGTGTAACATTTTGCCTCTGCTCACTATCGTATCCAAACTTAGTGTATGTGGCAGCATTTTTGTGTAGAATAATATACTCTTTGCTTCCAATTTTCAATTACATACCTATATTTAACTGTGCAAAACACTGTTCAGTGATGAAGCAAGGTGAAATAGGCACCAGCTGCCTAGTACAGCATGACTTCTGTGGAAAGTCTTGGGGGACTAATTTACAAAAATAGCACAGACATAAAAGGAAGAAGTTTTGAACGACTTCTGTCTTAGGTCGACTTAAAGGTGGAAGTCTTTCAAAACATTTGTTATTTTCTCCATGGAAGTCATGCTGTACTACGCAGCTGGTGCCTATTTTACCTTGGTTCATCTAGAAGACTGAGTAAATCATCTATAAAAGTCTACTGATAAATGAGAGGATTTTACTTCTATTCAGCCTGCTTTACTTAGATTACTTGTCACATGTTAGAAAAGGTTAAGTGTTTCACAGAGATATGTAAGGAGTAAAAAAAAAGTAGCTGTCATTACAAACCAGTGAAAATTTTCCTATACCTTGAATGTTATGCCAGTAGCCGTCACACAGCCAGTAGCTGTTTCCGTTTAATGGCTCAAAGGTGACACTGATGATGCCAGCTCCGTTCTCTACGCTGAACATTACCTTCCCCTCGACCATCTGGAGAAGCATGAAGTCATAACTACTGTGGACAGCCATTATAATACCGGAATTATGCCTTGGTTTGATGTCTATACGAATAGCAACTTTTTGTCCAACTCTGTAGCTGTCATCTGCAAAAAGAAACAAAGCCACTTACTCAGATTTCTTATTGTAATAATGTTATGGTTCTTGTTACTGATAACAGAAGAGGCCATTAACACAATGGTTCTTGTTATTGATAACAAAGGCTCTTAATGCAGTGATTTTTGTTATCGATAACAAAGGCTCTTAGTGCAGTGATTCTTGTTATCGATAACAAAGGCCTTAAAAATATCAAGAACCACTGCAAATCACCTATCACTACTTATATTTTATTACAGGTGAAAGGTGAAGCAGTCACCTATCACTACTTATATTTTATTACAGGTGAGAGGTGAAGCAGTCACTTATCACTACTTATACTTTTGTGTTAATAATCTTCCTTATTTACTGATCAAAGTTTCCAACTTACTAATATGTATTTTTGTTTTCCAAAGAAGCTTCTGCAACACCTACGAAATCTTACAAACTTCTAAGATGTATGTTAAAATCCATATGTTAATAATATTGCTGTAACTGTTATCAATATCAAGAACCATTGTGTTAAGGGCCTCTGTTGTCTCTTATTACAGGTGAGAGGTGAAGTAGTCACCTATCACTACTTATATCTTATTACAGGTGAGAGGTGAAGCTATAAGTAGTGATAGGTGACTGCTTCACCTC